CAGGACATTCATTTTCAACCTTCATAAATGTGAACCAGTTTGAAAGATTGGTAATTTTGAGATACAAGACAAGAGACAGCAATAAAGATGGAAGCATTAGAACTGGTATCAGTAATATTAGCAGGATCATAGGGAGAAATGCAGTTTGTTAAAACTTCAATAAACTGTAAGTCACTTTGGATAACAGCGTCTGCCAAATACATTAACACTATTTACATTCTCTCCTTATGTTCTTTCTCACCTGTTATTTTTGTAAATACAGATTCTCCCTCCCCATTTTTCAGTTATCCAGGTGTAATTTCACACACATTGTTCCGAGACTAAATGATGCTCAGAATGGTCAGCATTTAAATGTTAAAACAGCAGCAGACAGAATGAAGCTCACAACTCACTGATTTAGCAGTTAACTAGCAATTGTGTTAAGTGTATCACATTGGTCCAGACGACCATGTTTCAGTTGCTTAGTATGTCAAATCGAAGTGCGTTTGCCACAACATGTCAGATGGGTGTGTGGTCAAGGACCATATTGCTTGTGCTGCCATACCGATTCTCAATCTCAATTAAACAAAGTCTGCACGAGTTTGAGAGACAAACAATTGCAGAGGAAAATCAGCCAAGTATAAAAATGACCTACTTCACATTAAATGTACAATACCTTATTTAGCTGGAGTTTTCTATCAGGAGTACCTTCTCAGCAGAGTAAGGATCTTTAATACAAGTTTCCTATTGCACTCAATCTCAATCTTCTGACTTCAATGTTGACCAGAAGATGAGTTGGACAAATGTTTTTTGGCTGGTCTCAAGTACTCTCTGGCGTGTAACAGCATTATTCCATCACATGAAATTCAGTCAAGTTAATCGCCCAGTAAAGCATACAAAAACAGCAGCCCTTCAACTTCATTCATCACTGCCTCTATTTCAATGAGTTCCAGGACACAGACTGAGTATAAGTATAATATTAGAAAATATTACAATAGCCATAATTGACCATAATACTGAATATACAGTAATACTGACTAATAAGAAACATTCCTGACTCTGTCACTACAGCACAGGGAACATTCATCAACACAAGAATTAATGTGACAGTAGCACTACATATACCACCGTTCAAAAGTTTTGGGTCAGTAATTTTTTTTTAAAGGGGTCATATAATGCGATTTCAAGTTTTCCTTTCTCTTTGGAGTGTTACAAGCTGTTCGTGAATAGATAAGATCCCTAAAGTTGCAAAGACTAAAGTCTCAAACCCACAGAGATATTCTTTATAAAAGTTACGACTGGTCCACGCCCTCCTAAAATGCCTCGTTTAAACACGCCCCCACATGTCTATGTCACAATGTGGGATTTGCATAACGCCGCCCAAATGTTCACGCAAACAAAGGAGGCATAACTTTATTGTTGCTACCACCGCCGCCGCCATGTTGTGAAGACGCCGTGTGTTTCGTTGTGAAAGCGAAACTACTTTGTTTGGCCTTCCAAAAGAGGACACAACTAGAAATCAGTGGTTAAGTTGTATTTACAACACTGTTCCAGAACACTTCAACCCAAATATTCAGATGTGTGCAGCGCATTTTATGGAGGACTGTTTCCTGATCCTGGAAGAGTAGACTACGATGCCGGCTGATCTGACTCACAGCCTGTAAGTACTTTTTCATATTTAAAGGATTTGCCACCGAGGATTCAAACGCGAGTTTTGGGTAGTGTAGAGTAGCGCTTGTTGTTTGTAATTTCTCCGATCACAAATGCAGACATGGTTTTATGTTAAAGCAGCGCAATGCAACGCAACACGTAAAAAGACAGTATAAGTCAATATAATCAGTAATTATGTCCCCACTGAATGCAACAAATGCCTCATTTCATTACACCAAATAATGTTCTTTTTAGCAACATCATATGACCCCTTTAAATAAATTAATACCACTTAATATCACAATTTCCACAAAAATATTAAGCAGAACAGATGTTCTCAGCATTGATAATATAATAAATGTTTCTTGAGCATCAAATCAGCATAACAGAATGGTATTTCTGAAGGATCAAATGAAAATTCAGTTTTGCCATCCCATCACAGGAATAAACTACTACATTTTAAAATAAAACGGAATTTTAAATTGAAATATTTCACACAAACAATATTATTGTTTTTACTGCAGTTACAATCAAATAAATGCGGTCTCAAACTTAAAAAAACAAAAAAACTAAATCCCAAACTTTTGAATGGTAGTGTACATATGCATGTCATGAAAATGAATGCAAATCAAGAAGTGTTTTTTTGGATACTGTAATGTAATAATAAGTAGCAATAATAATCACTGCCATCATACTAATCCTACAAATGGAAGATGAGCAGAAGACAACCGAGTGGACAGCATTGTAGGTGTACAGGGCAGAGGTTCTGAGCAAAAAGCACTGCTGAATACAGGAAATATGCTGACCATTCATTTTGTGTTTATATTAAGAGGAGTGACATTATGAGTACGAAGGAGGAGGAGAGAATAATAGTTTCTTTTTGAAGACTGAAGACGCCCACTTTATACCCACAGCTAAGCTATTACGAAGCCCATCAGTGGATGACGGTACATTCAAGAAACAATTCAGCCCTATTATATCTGCTCCTTCAATTTTTTTACGAGGTGCTTATAATAAAGCGTAAACAGATAAGCGGAGTTTATTTTTTGCAAAACTGCAGCACTGAAGTCATTCCTCACAGAAAACAATGTAATTAAACATCTGTGTCCAAAAGCAGTAATTTTGTTGGTTTGGTTGTCAATGATTTAACATTATACTGTTGTACTTCAATACTGTGCTGGCTTGTAAGAGAATGACTGGATGATCAAATTTCCAAAAATAAAAAAAAAAGTCCTCTACCTCAATAAATAATCCTCATGTGACATTCTACTAGGGCTGCCATTGACTAAAGATTTTTCTAGTCGACTAGTAGTCGTTCATTTTTAGCAATTAGTTGACTAATCGCATATTAATAAACCATATAATTCATAATAATGAGCCTTTAATTGCCTATAGCCTATCAGTGCTCAAGCGCACGCATAAAACTTGCCACAGCACACTGGCAGAAAAAATTATGAATGCGTCAGGGGAAAAAACAGCAAGACTGCCTTAACATTATAATAATTAATTGATAAACTAGTGTTTTCTGTATTTTCAGCTGCAGCGATGAAGTTGCAGACACTGACTCGTCATCTCCACAGTGGACATGCACGTTTCATACGGATTACACAATCTGAAATATTTGTTTTCCATTTGAATTGGATCATTAAAAAGTAGAAATTGGAATTTCTATAGATATATTTTTCATGTCTGTGAGGCAAGCACAGAGTTTCGGTTAATTTGTTTTTTTTACATGCTCAAGTTCACAGAGCCCTAGATGGCAGAGAGCGCACCCTGTTTGCTTTCATTATTTTACAAAAGCACAACATTTTGTTGTTATTGTGAGTGCACTGCACACAAATACAAGTAAACCTTTTACAAATTCAAGAGATGTATTGCTCTGTAAGAGGCTAAGAGCAAAAATGACAGAGCATTAAGTTAAATGCAAATGATCGCACTGGTGCCTCCAAGTTAACTGTCATGCAGTGAGCACACTACTATTCAGCTTCCACACGCCACAAACACTTGAATAGCACACATTTTTCTGGGTTAATGTTAGAGCAAGCAGCCATGTTGCTACTACTTGCATGTTTTAGATAAGCCACATTTGAGGTTGATAAACGAAACAAACATTTTGATGTCTTGATGTACTGTAATTACCACATAGACCAGCTGTTAATAATCTGTCCGCCACACCACTACGTAACTTCACCACTTCCTGTGGATTTTTTTTTTCTGCGACCAAGCGACTAATACATTTTTGATAGACTAAGCCTCTTCTTGTTGACTAATGGTTAGTCGACTATTAGGGGGCAGCCCTACACTCGACAATTTCAGTGTAACATATATTTCCCAAAAATGAATAGTTGCAATGAACAGACACAGGAAAGGAAATGTACGCTATTTAGAAGTCTACCATAAACCCTGCTACACAATTTGGATATAAAATAACATCTTCCTTCCAAAATATTTTAATTAAGATTAAATAATGCAAATAAAACCCAGGTGGAACGGCAAATGCTGAATCCGAGATCTTATATTCTAGCAGCCAAAGCATTTCAGAGTATCTAATAATAAATTTAAAGCAAATTTGTCATCAGAATGAAATGAAGTAAAATTAACTTTATCCGATTTCCTGAGTTTTGGATCATTTTGAAACTACACTGCTAGACTACAAGCACAAGTACATTGGCAGTGTCTATGGAGAGCAGCTAAATCCCAGTGGCGTATGTTACTGCCACAGAGTGCATATCAAAGTGAGCAATCCCTGAAAAATTACTGAAGCTAAACAAATAAGCTACAATGTGAAGCAAAGACACTGGAAAACACACATCTGATATTGCAACCATTCACCAACCGGTTATGATACAATACTCAGAAATCATTACAATGTTAGGTTGGAGGGAAAAGAGAAGTGAAAATGCAGATGTTGTTGATGTCTTTGTGAGAGCTGCGGCAAACGCACAGGTGCAGATGGTCACCTGTGAGAAGTCCTTTCTGGCGTGTGCTGAGGTGTGCTTGGTTAGCCCAGCTTGGTGATCTGAAGACTCCCAACTATCCGGATCATATTAATGGCCGGGAAAGTTCAAAAGAATTTATTTTAAAAAATAATTTGTAACAACACCTTTTACTGTCACATTTAATCAATTTAATGCATCCCTTGTGAATAAAAGTATTCAGAGAGTTGCCACTTCATTTCAGATTTCCACTAGATATCACATTATGTGGGTACTTCCTTCTGTCTGAAGAGATACCTGCATACAACAGTGGTGTCTGTTAAGTCTGACTGACTAAGCAATGAAGCAGCTGCCATCGGTTTTGCACACAACCCTGGACTCATGCTTCGTGCAGATTAGAGATCTCAGATTAGAACGCATGTAGATGTCAGTGTTTCAGCTCATTACCCTAAAAGGCTGGTCCGGGATGAAGGGGAAGTAAGCTATGGGTGCCTCTTCCTCACTCCATTTCCCAGAAACCTGTGCATTCCTCAGGAACTGCCTTTCGGTGAATCGTGCGCGGAGTTGAAGGGCCACATCAATGAGCTCTTCATCATCTTTCTCCTCACTGTTACCACAGGTCAAACTGATGTCAAAGCTGTGCAGAAAACAAACATTAAGCATGTAAACAGCCCATTTCTTGTGCAATGCACTGCCTAAAGTTCTTGTTTTTCTAAAGATTCATTCATCTGTTCAAATATGTTTTCTATCTTATGTCATCATAAACATATGACAAGTGTTGCATGATGAAGCATTACAAACCGTGTGCCAATGTATCAAACATTACAGAGAAATAGCATGCATCTACTTTCCATGAATTCATAGTAATTTAGGCCTGCATTGGCATCCATCACCACCACATTGAATGAGCATCACAGTGCATTCCTAATGGATCAGCAGTCAGTTTAGAAAGGCTGAATTCCTGAGCTGAAATGACACATTAGTACCACTTAACCATTGATATATCAGGACCGTATTGGGGATGCTTAATTAAAATTGCTGCATAATTACAATTTAAAGACTAACCCACCAGTTTAACAAACTACTAAATCCTCTCAGGTCAGGAACCATTACTATACTCTCAAAAAAAAGAGAAAAAAAGACCAGCACAAAAATGATTCCCAGAGAACGATACAGTCAAAATGCATACCGTTAACGCATTCCAAGTCACTTTGGATAAAAGTGTCTCCCAAATGCATAAATGCAAAAAGCGTTTGGAACTAGTTTTAAAGAAACATTAAACAACTACACTACTGTTTTAAAGTTTGAGGTTAAAAAAAATAAATTAATATTTATATAAATTCAATTAATATTATTCACCAAGGATGAATTACATTAAACAAGTGAAAGTAAAGAAATTTATGTTACAAAAGATGTCAAAATGCAAATGTTTTGAACTTTATATTCAAAGAATCCTGGAAGCAAAATGTAATAAGGTTACCACAAAAAATTAAGCAGCACAATTGTTTTCAACTAAAGAAATGTTTCTTCAGCACCAAATCAGCATATTAGAATGATTTCTGAAGGATCATGTGACACTGAAGACTGGAGTAATGATGCCAACAATGCAGCTTTTCCAACACAGGAACAAGTTACACTTTGAAATATATTCAAATTAAATAATTTATCCACAACATTACGGTTTTTACTGTATTTTGAGCAAATATATGCAGACTTGATGAGCATAAAAGAATTCAATTAAACAAAAATAAATAAGGGTGTGTGTGTAATATATATATATATATATATATATATAAAATATAATTCTTACCAACTCCGAATTTTTAAACTGTGTAATATCACAAACAAGTGTTAAGTCTTCTGAAGACTCCCAACTATCCGGATCATATTAATGGCCGGCAAAGACTTTACTTTGTGATAAAAGTCAAAGAGCTGGTGTCCATCCACAAAGATCCTAAAACGCTGGTGCTCACAATGGATCTCAATCTGTATAAATGTGGAAAGGAGAGGAGAGAAAGAGCAAAATGAGATCAAATCAAAAGAATCCTTTGTCAGTCACTGAGAGGCATTGTGGACAATGTGTTGAAAGGAAATACTTGTCTTATTTTGCATGACTGCTTATCTCAGCTCAACATTTGCAAACAGTGACCCATCTTTTGGTTCGCCTTCAGCCCCAATTACAAACAATAATCACTCTTTATCTTTGAGCATCTTTGCCCACTTTGATCATACAACTCTCTGCCATACAGAATAATTCTGTAATTGGCTATTATAAAGGAATAAATCAACATGCAAAAGCAGTCATACTTTCTGGGAAAAAAAATAAAAAATACAATCACACACACACACACAAGATCAAGGTTTTTGAAAGAAGTGCTTACCTTACATTTATTTGATCAAAATACAGTAAAACAGTAATATTATTATAATACTATAAATACTACAAAGTAGGGATGCACCGATACCACTTTTTCCAGTACTCGCCCGATACCGATACTTTTATTTTTGGTACTTGCCGATACCGATGCCGATACCTATATTTTTATTACATTTGTAAATTTTTTAAATATTGGGTACAGAAAAAACTGTGTAATATCACAAACAAGTGTTAAGTCTTTTCAGTTTTGCCCATTCTTAGGCTCTCATATGGTACATGCCAGTTAGCGCTCCACTTCCTTACCTAAATACTTAAGCTTCAAAACTGCATGCATATGCATAAGTGAAGCAGCGGTGCAACTGCAACAACGTGAATGGTGACTGAGAATGTTAGGAAATGTACCCCTAAAGGTGTGCGTGTATATATCTATACCCAGATTTATGCATATATCACCCTACAATAGAAGAAAATCATACAGGCTCGAACAACATAAGGTGAACGTGAACTACCTGTGAATCAAAAGATTTACCACTGATTATCTGAATCAACATACTAAAATGTTAAGTTTCCAAGACACACCCAATGCTCTCACGGTTTTGATATTGGTTTCCTTAACAGCTAATATAAACACCCATCATCACGAAGCAGTGTACACACCCATGCAGTGTGTCTCAAGCAGATCTACAACCCAACGCAATCTGAAACAAGAGGCTCAGTTTCTCAAAACATAGTGCTGCCTATCAAGACAGCATATAGACCCATGATGCCCAAAAATGCAGTTTAAGGGAGCCTACAAGGTTTTGAGACAGAGTTTCTGTCTGATGTAACTATTTGCAACTGCTATAATGTGTACATTCTTAAATGTATGCAATTTTGATATGAAAACATACCTGTCTGGCTCTGGATCAATGATGCCCATTATTATGATTTTCTTCCCAGGCCTCATCCCACCTCTGATCCGTCCACTGAAAGGAACTGTCTGGTATGTCAGATGGGGGAAGAAGAAAAAAATCAATGCAACAAACTATAGCATAAGATAACAACGATGCTTTTTAAACATCATCTTTACCAGAATACGAGAGATGTCTTCTTTATCAGGGGAGATAAACCCAGAATCTCCAAACGAATTATTAAGGTGAACATCATCTTCGGTGTTCTTCAGATGAGAAAGAGAAGATTTACAAGTAAAAAAAAAAGGAATGCAATAAAACACGAGCGCTGTATTGCAGACGCAAACGATTTTAACAATAAAACGACACGCCTTCTACATCTGCACTAAAGCTTTAAAGACTGATGAAAAAACATGTGCACTAAATACATCAGAGCTAAAAGAACGCTTGAAGTATTCCTTGTCCATTGCGGTCTTCCACATCTGCATTTTAACAAAATCATTATTATTTTTTCAACTCTAGGTGTGAGAAATGAACGAGTCATCTCGTCGCATGTGATGCAAACTGATTTCCACTGCGCTTCTTATTAAATGAATCGGTTTTATTAACAATAAAGGCTATTTTACGAAAATCTGAAGCATTGTAAGATTTCAAAGGTATTTGTGACTTACTATCGCGTCCTTTTCCATGCTCGCCACCGCCATCTTGAACAAAATACCATAGGATGCTTATCAAAGGCGGTCCAGCCCAGGAATCTGTCAGTGTCGTGGCAGACTGGACAGGGAGCTGCAAGGTGCCTAAATTCAAGAAGAAAGCTGTAAAACAAACAGAAATTCTCGAAACGAATTAAGACACCACTCTATTGTGTAGTTACGTGTCAAAGAAATATGCTGACGCGGATTATTGTACGGGTGGAAGTTAATCCAGCCTCTATATGAACCTAATCTGCTCAAATCTCATTGGACCTGAACATAATTACCAACAGAATAATAAGTGGCTACAGTTTAACGCTTTTTTATTTAAAAACATGGCAATTTTCTTTCTTAAAGGTCCAGGATACTGTCACTGGAATTTGAACTGTTTGTAATGACTCATATTTTGTTAATAGGCCTATTACTTGAATATTTGCTGGTAGGTAAACATATTCATTGATTTGCATTTGTTTTGTTTGTTGTGTTGGATTTTTTTAGTTAATTCTGAGAGAAAGAATTTACATTGTTCCAGTATGTTTCTGATCTTTGAAATGTGCGCCCTCAACGAGCGGGGAGAGGGAGACCCCTATTGGCAGTTGACAAGAATGGCACCGCAGTAGTGATCGTGTTATAGTGGAACGGTGAAATAAAAGTTAAAATTTGCTGAACATTTAACTCACCCTCGGTCCATCCAAGATGTAGATGAGTTTGTTTCTTCATCGGAACAGATTTGGAGCATTACATCACTTGCTCACCAATAATATACTCTGCAGTAAATGGGTGCCGTCATAATGAGTCCAAACTGTTGATAAAACATCACAATAATCCACACAACTCTAGTACCTCAATCAACGTCTTGTGAAGTGTTTAGTACGTAAAGTCAGAACATGGCTAATTTTGAACGGCTGTCAATGGAGAAAGATGCTTTTCAGAAGCAGTTGGTGTAGTTACTGCATCTACCAGCAGAGGCTAAAGGTCCAACTAAACCAAACCCTTTGTACAAACTGTTAACTGTGCAGTTAACCACCTAAATGAGAGCTTGCGGTTTTGGTCAGAGTGGTTGTGTGGTGCTTAAATAACTAACTTTAAAGATAATAACTTATATAAGAATTCCACTTCCCATTGGCCCTGCATCTAAATAAATAAGTAAATTATTATTTTATATCTTCTAAAATACATGAATTTTATTTATTTATTTTATTTTTAATTTTATTTCCAAACCACTTTGCAGAGTCATGGTATGCTGGATCCTATCCAAGCATTTTGGATTGTAGAGGGAAACACCTTGGACAAATGTCATTTTAAATTTGTTATTTTTTAAATTTTTATTTTTATTTTATATATATCTTTTTATTTTATTTTGAGTAGGGTCATTACATCATATCCTTTTAAAACTAATGAATATTCTTTAACAAAGTGTGGACTTTTGGGTGACAGCAAAAGGCTGCATGCACTGTGACCTGCACTGTCCAGAAGTGTATTTGAGCATGCAAATTTAATAAGTGTTTATTTAGCAGGGCCAGACTGTAATTAGGTTAATGCTGCAGTCACTCTGCACTGCTCTCCCACGGCTCCATTCTCCTCATCTGCTCCGGCGGAAAGCACCACAGACAGACCTGGCACTGCCCGCCATGCTCTGATCGTGCCCGCTTGGGCCTGCTGGACACCTCACCCACCTGCCACACATGACACCAATGTATGATCCTCTAACTGACATTAACCATCACCTGCTAATATGACTAATGTTGAAAATGCTGTTGGAAGTGTTCCCGGGCATTAATGGAATAAACATCCGGTGAACAGCTGTAATAAACTTAGAATTTAGGATGTCATATTCAAGATCTTTTTTTCAGTCTGCTTCCCCCATATCAATATATTGCAATCTGTTTCTTTTTCTCTGTCTCACTCCCTCACTGAATATGGCTTATTGTGTGTTTTTGTGAATGTCAAGCTCCCACACACTTCCTCACACCCACTCTCTCCATGTAGCAGCTGTGTGTGGTCTGTTTCTTACTTCCTGTTCTGGCTCCTCACTCGGGGCCTTTCCCCTCAACACACACACACACGGTCACAAATACAAGATCAAACGAATTAATGTACAATCACATGACTGCCAAAAACATTGCAAACACATTCACAGCAACACACCATATAAAACTGCATTGATCTGAATGAAGTGTCTGACAGCGAATCCCCTGTTATGCAACAGGTTTAAAAATCCAGCAAGTCTGACAGTCTTGGCTCCATCCTTTAGGGCTCAGCGTCCTTCATAATAATTAACTCTCCATGACCTTTGATACAAATGTAACCCGGCATAAGCTCACTGTTATATGGCAAACTTTCATTCTAGTGAAACTTCTAAGCTTCTGTGGGGTCTGTATGTCTGCTGCCTTTAAATCTTACATTATCCACCATTGTTTTAATTCACAGTCCTTGTTTGTGTTTCAGGTCACTTTAAAAAATATTTAAAATAGATTTTATTAATTTATTACATTTTACATTTATCAAGTCAAAAATATTATTTATTATGGCTAAATCATAATGAATAATTTTATTGAATTTACTTAATTCTACAGGGCAACAAATTGCAAGCTTTTTTAACCGTAAATTCAATATTAACAGTGTATTTTGGCATTAAAAAATAAAATACAAATTCAGAATTTTAAAAGGAAAGCAATGCATGTTGTAACATGATAAATTACTTTATAAACAAACAAACAAACAAATAACGTGGTTATTGCATGATTGGATGGTCCTTGTTTTGAAGGATCCCACAATGGGGGAATACCCATAAGCCTTTACATTTAAAAAAAATTATTTGCTATGCTTGAGGAAGCATGGGGACTTAAAAGAGATAGTTTAAAATTCCCCTACTGCTCAGCCAGAGCATGGTGATAACAATGCCAATGCTGTAGTGTTTTTGCCCAGGAACATACATACTGATAACATGCATAATGTAATGTATTGATTGGTGGTGCAAAATACATTAGAAGTTTGGCTCTATTAAATACTGCTCTTTTATTGACAATAATTGTTTCGCCTGACGTAATGGTTATGATGATTACTGTTGCTTTTGGTATGTAATGTAGATGATGTATAAGTCTTTTGCAGCTAATGCATTTTAAATTATGGCAAATTGGGAAAGTTCTTTGGCTAACTCCAAGTAATTTGGTCAACTTTCAATCTATGCTTAATGTATCAGTATTCAAACATGTAAAACATGTATCCTCTTTGTATTTCAAATGTTTACTATTATTATATTGTTAAACATTACTTTCAGCCTTACTTTCAGTCCTCACAATAGTTTTATAATGGTACAAAAGACATCTTTGAAAAAGACAACAGTGTATTATTTAGTGTAAATTGTTTAAATAATTGCTCTCCTGAAAACTGAAATTTAATTTGACATTTTTTCTTGAATGTCAGACATTAAGCCAATGAATATCTCTCCGTGTTGAAATTCTTCCTTTATGATTTATGATCTATATCAGACAGTCCAGATTCTGCAAACAGATGAATGTATGTATATTTATTGAATAATAATGATTAATTTATTTAACCATAACTATATGTAATCAAGTACAGTAACATGTAATATCTGTAACATGGACACTGTAAATAAAGCATTACCATCTATTCTTCAGAGGAGGGGTGAAGATGCCGCTGTAGTGCACGATTCAAATTCCAGCCAGAGGGGGCAGCTATGGGCTGGTGTATGTGTGTGTGTGTGTGTGTGTGTTACATAAACGTGCAACTGCTTGTGTGCCTGCTGAGCTGGGCTTGTAGGTGTGGCTTCTTTCCCTCCCACAGCAGAACAAGATCATTCAGATATTTGCACAAAGCCAACCTGACAGGGAGAAGGGGAGGAGAGGGAGGGGAGAGCAAGGCTCTTGCAGTCTTTCTCATTCTTCTTCTTTCTTCTCTCTCTTTCTCTCTATGCCTCCACAGAAACAAGGAAGACTGTCTGCCTCATGGCCTGTGAACTGAGCAGAATTAAATTAGAAATGCAGCTGTTTGGGCAGGTTACTTTCTACCTCTCATTCAATTTAAAGGGATAGTTCACTCAAAAATAAATATTTTGTCCGACAGCATGTTGTTTCAGATGAATTTAGGGGAATGTCCAAGCTGCTCTTTTTCTATACAGTAAAAGAGAATGAGTAGTAGGAGTACACAGTTAATCAAAGCTCACAGTAAAATAATCTGGATTATTTTGACCTATAGCTGACAAATCGTATGCTCCCTCTAATGCTGGGTACACACCACAAGCTAATTGGACTGATTTTGGGCCAATTTCTCCCCTTTCCAACAATCCTAGGTAATGTCCCAATTATCTTGGTGGTTCTAAAGATTATCTTATCACAGGGTTTCTGCATGATTTTTAAGCTGAAATTTAAGACCTTTTTAAGACCTGCACAAATAAAATTAATACCATATAAGCAGGTTAGGGCAATGTCTATAGTACCATATTAAACTGTAAAATTACTGTAAAATTGTGTGCCTGCTGAGCTGGGCTTGTAGGTGTGGCTTCTTTCCCTCCCACAGCAGAACAAGATCATTCAGATATTTGCACAAAGCCAACCTGACAGGGAGAAGGGGAGGAGAGGGAGGGGAGAGCAAGGCTCTTGCAGTCTTTCTCATTCTTCTTCTTTCTTCTCTCTCTTTCTCTCTATGCCTCCACAGAAACAAGGAAGACTGTCTGCCTCATGGCCTGTGAACTGAGCAGAATTAAATTAGAAATGCAGCTGTTTGGGCAGGTTACTTTCTACCTCTCATTCAATTTAAAGGGATAGTTCACTCAAAAATAAATATTTTGTCATTATTAAAGCTGCAGTCCGTAACTTTTTTTGGTTAAAAATGATCCGAAATCAATATTTGAGCAAGTACATAACCAGCCAGTGTTCGAAACTATCGCCTTACTTTAGCCCAATTCACAATGGTTAGCTTATAATAATGTTTTCTAATTTGATATTAAACTGTAAAATTACTGTAAAACGCATAACTTACAGTTTAGATACAAGTTTTCACAAAACAAAAAGTTTTTTAAAACCATTTTTAAGAAAATAGATGAGTCAAAAGTATTAATTATTATATTAATTTAAACAATTATTATCAATAAATTATTATATCAATT